TGACATTTAAGGCACACTGTGTGAAACCCTCTGTGATGGAGCTTGTGGGTCTCTGCTTTAGGGGGCCCCACGGGGTAAGTGATTCAGGAAGGGGGTGAGGGAGGAAGTGGCTGACCAGCTAGCACTAAAAAAAGACCTGGGGCTATGGTCCCACGGAAAGAGCCAGTAAAGAGCTGGCTAAACACTCAGCCCTGTCCCCACATCTTCCAAACCCTCCCCTGGCTCACCCACGTCCAGCAAGGTAGAATGGGAGGTAAGTAGGAGACAGGAGGGAGGAGTCATCAGAAACCACTCAACATCTAACTGTACCAACCACATGTGATTTGCAAATGTTTCTTACCCGTTCAGACTCCTGACCATGAGAATTCAAGGAGTTCAGTCTGCATTCAACCCACCTCCCCAATCACACCTTCCACCTTGCTCCTCCATGTCTTACCTGTTCAAGAAACATCCTGCATATGCACTTTCATGCCTGGGCCCTTGAACAGGCTCTCCCCAGCACAGAATGCCTCTTCCTACCATATCTGTCTGTCAAAGTCCTATTCATCTTGCAAGGTACCAATCAGACACCATCCTCTCCATGAAACCATCACAAACCCTCTAAACTGGAAACAACTGCCATCTCTCTGGTGTTCCCTCAGGCCTCTGGTGATACCGGGGCAGTTACAGAATTTATCACACTCTGCCTTGTCTCATAGTTAACTGATGGGTAGCTCTCTCTCTTACCAATCTTTAAATGCCAAAGATAGGGGCTGACGCCTACTCACAGCAGGGTGCCTCACGTACCTAGCAAAGCACCATGCACAGCTAAATGCACTTCAACAATATGTTGACTGAAGGAGCATCTCGAACATAATGCCAGGGGCCCTTGAGGGTAATTCAGCAAACACTTTTCAACCTGAAACATGCCAAGTACTGTGTTAACTAAAGGATGCTTCACATGCTTCCAAAGCTCAACATCTAGAGGTGGAGAAAGACTCTCTAACACACCTACATTCTGCTCAGTATGCTAAGGGGGGTAGGTGCAAAGTGTTAAGGCAATGTTTCTCAAACTTTCAGGTGCACAGGACGTAAGAATCACCAGATTCTAGCTTAGTAGGTCCAACATCCTACATTTCTCACAGGCTCTCAGGCAATGCTGATGCAATGACAATACTCTGAGTAACGAGGGGTTAAAGTGGGAGAGGGAGAGATTAACTGCACCTGGAGGAATATGAGCAAACTGTCTTCAGAGAGATGGGATTTCACACAACAACTCTCCACTGTGATAGGGCAAAAGAAAGAAGATGGCACGGGTCTCTGCCCAACAGAAACACAGGTTGGCAGGGAGTCAGGCAAGCAAACTTTCAACCACAAGACAATGCTGAACAGACACAAATGCAAAGTGCTTTAGGAGAACAGAGGAAGGAGTGTTTGGCCGCTTCTCTCCCCTTAAGAAGAGAAAACTACAAAAGGAGCTTTGAAGCATGGGTAGGACTCTGCTGGCCGAGGTGAGTGGGTACTCCAAGCCAAAGGAATACTAGAGCAGAGCCCCAGAAGTTGGAGAACTTAGGTCCTTAGAGACAGCCAGCAGGCGGAGACTGTGGGCAACTAGGGGAGAAAGGCAGAGAGGGGCCAAGTCTGAAGGAACTGGACTATCAAGAACACAGGTGGAGGGCTTCCCTGATGGTGCAGTGGTTAAGAATCCACCTGCCAATTCAGGGGACATGGGTTCGAGCTCTGTTCTGGGAAGATCCCACATGCCGCGGAGCAACTAAGCCCGTGTGCCACAACTACTGAGCCTGTGCTGTAGAGCCTGTGAGCCACAACTACTGAGCCCACATGCCACAGCTACTGAAGCCCGCGCACCTAGAGCCCGTGCTCCACAACAAGAGAAGCCACCGCAATGAGAAACCCGCACACTGCAACAAAGAGTAACTCCCGCTCATCACAACTAGAGAAAGCCCGCGCACAGCAACGAAGACCTAACACAGCCAAAAATAAATTAATTTATAAAAAAGAACACAGGTGGAGATCCTAGAAATTTCATCCAGAGTGGCAGTCGACACCAAAAGAACATCCTTAAGCTTCTCCATCTTATATCTCACAGAAGGCAGTGACAGATTTCTGTGAGCAGCTTAGAATAATCAGAGATTCAGTTAAATCAGCAGTCCTTCCATTAATCCTTGAGAAAACCAGCCAGGGGCTGCTGCTCCTGCACTGCCACTACCCCATGGCTCTTCCCAGATGTCTTGCTGACTTAAAGTGATAGCCTATGGGCATGTAGAAAAAAAGGCAAGCTTGGGCTTCCCTGGTGGTGCAGTGGTTGGGAGTCCGCCTGCCAATGCAGGGGACACGGGTTCGTGCCCCGGTCCAGGAAGATCCCACATGCCGCGGAGCGGCTGGGCCCGTAAGCCATGGCCGCTGAGCCTGCGCGTCCGGAGCCTGTGCTCCGCAATGGGAGAGGCCACAACAGTGAGAGGCCCGCATAACGCAAAAAAAAAAAAAAAAAAAAAAGGCAAGCTTTACCCAACATGGGTAGGACCACCTTTGAAAACCACCAAGAGCTGAGCAGCTCTGTTCTACTTCCTGCTCCCCTGACAAGTTTCTAACCTCTGATTTTCTCTGTGGTGTGGAAGAACAGACGTTCCTTCAACAACAAGCCAGAATTGGTCTCTCTTGCTCTGGCCATTACCATTATTTCTCCTGAACAGACAAGAAGGGGAAAGTGGAAACGATATTCTGTGCTTGCTTCATGAACTATGGAAAATGCATCCTACCTCTCTTAGATACACCTCTAAGACTCACCCTGCCCTGCCCTGATTCTTCATTTACTCACTCATAAATAAATAAATACTGTCTAGCTTCATTCATTCATTCATTCACTCACTCATTCAACAAGTATCTACTGAGCTGTACTGTACTGTGCAAGGAATTATGCTGGGCCTGGGGGCTACGTCTCCGACCTTGTGTCCTTCCACTTTTCTCCTGGGTCATGCTATTCTTATCACACCAGCTGCCTGCTATTTCCCCAAAATGCCAACTATGCTCCTGCTTCAGCTGTGCTGATTATTCCCTCTGCCTAGAATACTCTTCCCTCAGATACACTCATGGATCCCTCCTTCCCTTCCTTCAGGTCTCTACTTAGAGAGACTGGCTCTGGTCCCTCTGAGAAAACAGCACTCAGTCCCCTTATTATCCTTTATTTCTCTCCATAGTACACATCACCACTGGACATTTTATATCTATTCATTTGTTTATTGTGTCGTCCTGTCCCCGACACCCCCAGGCTGGAAGGTAAGCTCACACTCACAGAGGTTCTGCCTACTCTGCTCGCTGCTGCAGACCCAGCACTTAGGACAGTACTTGGCTCATGGAAGGCGCTGACATATCTGCTGATACACTGCTGAATGAGAATGAAAGGGAAGTCACTCAGAGCAGGAGAACGACATGATCAGAGCTGAAAAACAATCCCTTAGCTATACCAGGATCATCCCCTAAAGGGTTTATAAGAATTCTCAGCAAGTTGCTAGAGTTAAAGAAACCCCAGGTTAGGTAAAAGGTGAAGAGGGTCTGAATTAGGACAGTGGGTTACTGAGCATCTGTTATGCAGACACCTCAGTAAATGATTCAGTCACAGCCCCTGCTCTCACAGAGTTACAATACTGTAAATAATTATGTAACTGTCATTATGATAAATGCCACAGATACACCTAAAAGAGAGGGGACAAGCCAAAGCCAATCCTAGAGTTTCAGTCCTACATGACTAGATGGATGGTGTGCCATCCTTACACAAAGGGAACAAAAGAAGAGATTGTTGAGAAGGGAAAGAGGCTTCATTTTAGACTTAATGAGCATAAGGATCAACAGGACAAATGGAAATGCAGGTCTAGTGTTTAGGACCAAAATCAGCGGTTGGAGCAAAGATCTGAAAGTCATTTTTAACTTGTAAGCTATGCCAACAAACCTTCAGTGGAAGACAGGATGGCATAGTATGTTTCGCTGATCCTCAGGATAGCTCTGTTAAAGGTTATATGACATTTAGATTTTACAAATCAGTACAGGAAAAATAAGCTTATAACGTGTGCATCACTTAAATGTGTATCTCTTGGAAGTCAATTCCTTTTAAGTGACCACTTGAAGTGCAGCCACAGGGCTGAGCTAATAAAATGTGGCTCTTAACAGCTGAAGCAGCTTACTGCAAAAGCTAAAGAAGAAAGATTTAGTATGAAATGTTTTTGATCAGTGGATCTGGATAGAGACAAATTCTGTTTTTAGTGTCTCTCCAATCACAAAGCACTATGAGCAATCTCATTTGCCCACTTGCTAACAAGTCTTCTTCAGCTTCTCCTTTTTTAATTGTAGTAAAATATACATAAAATTTACCATTTAAACCATTTTTAAGTGTACAGTTCAGTGGCATTAAGTACATTCACGCTGTTGTACAACCATTACCACCATCCATCTCCAGAACTTCTTCATCTTCCTAAACTGAGATTCTGTACCCATTAAACACTAACTCCCAATTCCCTCCTTCTCCCAAGCACTGCGAAATCTCCATTCTACTTTTTATTTTTATGAATTTGACTTCTCTAGTTACCTCATTTAAGAAGAATCATATGATATTTGTCCTTCTGTGACTGGCTTATTTCAAAACTTAGAACAATGTCTTTAAGGTTCATCCATGTTGCAGTATGTGTCAGAATTTCCTTCCTTTTTAAGACTGAATAATATTCCAGTGTATATATGGAACAGTATTCCATTGTATGTATGGAACAAAATGTACCACATTTTATCCATTCAACCACTGATGCAGTCTACCATTGGGCTGCTTCCATCTTCTGCATATTGTGAACAACAATGCTGTGAACATGCTTGCACAAATATCTGTTCTTGAGCTTATTTTCTAAAAAGCATTTTTGTGTTCTCATCAGATATGCAGCACACGGCCCAGACATGTTGGGCCATACCTGAACTACTGATCTACTTCGCCTGCCAAAAGCCCAAACTCTGGCCCTTACCTTCACGGCCCTGCACACAGCCGCTCAGGTCCACTGGAACACAGGAGCCATCACGGTCTCCTCTGGCCTGCCATTGTGCAAGCAGCTAAGCATCCTCAGCTTCAACTAAGACAGAAAGGGAGCACGGTGTCTTTAGTCAATGCTTTGGAATAGTCTGCCTCAAGCTTCAGCAGAGCTACAAGACTTTAAAGATGAGATGCAAAATATAACAGTGACTTCTCCTATGTCAGTTATCCAGTCACCGACCAGGACAGTCCCATGATCACCTGCAGTAAGCTGGAAAAAGAAAGTTTTTCACTTCTGGTTCACCTGTACTCTTTAACAAGAGATGCTTCCGATTTCTGAAGTATACGCTGGGGCAATAAAGCAAGTGTAATCTACTCCAAAAACTTTAACTTTACCAAGGCCATATCAGTATACAATATGGGTAAGGCAACGGGTCTGGCCCACACCTGTTTTTGTAAATAAAATTTTACTGGAACACAGCCAGACCCATTCGTTTATGTACTGTGTACAGCTGCTCTAGTGCTATAACACCAGAGTTGAGTAGCTGCAACTGAAACTGTATGACCCACAAATCCTAAAATATTTACTATCTGGCTCTTTACAGAAAATGCTTGCCAACTCCTGGTTCACACATCTTGGTTCATTCTCTCTTCTCCCCACCTAGAAACAAGTAATGATGTGATCAGCTGTTTGGGTAGAAAAGGCCTAAACTGATGGTGGGGAAGCTGGCTGGTTTCTATGCCAAGGAGGCAATGTGAGTGTCAACAGTCAACAAACCAAAAGTAGGAAGGTAGATGCCATACTTGTAATTCAGGAGGGGCTACAGGAACACATCTTCAGAAAAACAATGTGGTCTCATTTTCCATCAACCAGCCCACAAGCTGAACCAGGCATGGCCAAGGGGCAAACAATGTAACCTCAGGCACAAAACAATAGAGGAACCACCTGCAGTAAGAAGCATCCCCAAACACATGCTTCTTAAATTCACCCAACTGGCCGGCCAAGCTCCAGAAGCCTCAGGATGAATGCCATGAATGTTGCTCAGCTAGTAACTGATTTTCCAAGATACCTCTGTTGGGCTGCACACAGCAGGCAACATGGCCTGCTCTTGTCCAGCTTTAAGACCAAAGAAAGAGCCCGGAGTCTGCAGCAACAGAGACATCAATGGTGTAATGGATGGGGGCCTTACATGTCTGAAGCAAGGTCCTGGAGCGACACCCCACCGTGTGTGGCAGACAGCGGGCAGGACAGGGTGGCAGTCTTCGCTCCCACATGGAAGGGGAGATTACTAGTTATAGGGGAATTGACGTCTGGTGGGCTCATTAGTTACCACAGAAACCAGCAGAGGGGCACACCCCTCCCGGCTCCTTTGATAAGAACAATCACCAGCTGGGGTGGGGAAAAGAGTGTAGGAAGGTCAGTCATACGAGTAGGGTACAGGTGAAGCAGGCACTGGCCGGGCAGGGGGATATACAGAGAGCAAGAGAACAGCCATCTTGAGTGCCCTAACCATACAATCTCCAACCCTCTTTCCCCACCTACGTGTCAGGAAGCATCAAACTCTCTCATTCATCTAATTGGTGTCCAAATTTAACAGCATCACCTACAACATAACTCACAGAAAAAAGAGCAAAACTGACGTTTTGATGAATATGAATTCATATCACAAGTGCACATTGTGATATGTGCGCACGTGCTCTAAAGGAGCGCATTCTTGCCCTTAGTTTTAATTACTCATTAAAAAGAGGCAAGGCGGGCTTCCCTGGTGGCGCAGTGGTTGAGAGTCCGCCTGCCTATGCAGGGGACGCAAGTTCGTGCCCCGGTCCGGGAAGATCCCACATGCCGCGGAGCGGCTAGGCCCGTGAGCCATGGCCGCTGAGCCTGCGCGTCCAGAACCTGTGCTCCGCAACGGGAAAGGCCACACAGTGAGAGGCCCGCGTACCGCAAAAAAAAAAAAAAAGAGGCAAGGCTGAAAATGAAACACAATTACCTGAAAAAAGACAGTAGAAAGCCCCGGGAATGAGCAATATTCAGAGGCACAATATCTCCCAATACAGTGTCATTTCCAAATCGAAACAGTCAAAAATTCATATGTCCAGAAAACTAGCAGAAAAAGCCTGCATCTGTCTTCTCTCCTGAAATAGAACAGTGGTGTTGCATCTGGCCATACACATCACTGTCCTCCATGCTCACAGATGACACTGCAGATGGTGTTTGTTCCCTGCTCTGCTTTATACCATTAGCAGGGCAGGTGGGTAATCTGACAGAGGATGTAAAAGCAACGCTTCCACCAAACAGCTGTGTTGGATCTCAGATAATATAGCTTTGTGCCTTGGGCAATCCCTTAATATCACTAAGCCTCAGGGTTTTTTCACCTGTAAGATGGATGGCTTTGATAGAAGACCTCTATGGCTCCTTTTAATATGATTATTCTAGCTCTATAATTACACCCGTGTAACTCACCACACTACACATAACATAAAAATGGCATGCATCAACAAGTCCTTGCCTCACTTCCTGATATCCTTCTCCACCTACTCTTTCATCACAAAATCAGCATGACAGCAAATTAAGCAAGATTCCACACTCAAATGTAAGGCTCTTGAAGTCAGTTTCAGTGAAAATTGTGTACCTGGATTCAGTGGGGCAAAAGGAAATATTCTAATACTGTGCCTTTCACCCATGGAAAAGATATTTCCTTTTGAAGGCTAAATTCTCAGATCTGGGTTCAAAACTTTAGCAAGGGCCTTGGGAAAATGCTGGCAAGACTCATGCCAGCAGATCTTCGAGGAACCCTTTATTAGTGGTTGCAAAACAGAGAGAGAGAGAGAGAGAGAGAGAGAGAGAGAGAGAGAGGGAGTGTGTGTGTGTGTGTGTTTTTGTGTGTGTGTGTGTGTGTGTGTGTGTGTAGAGGAGGTTCCTGTCTCTTCTAAGCTTATGGGTCAGCGAATAGTATGTATATACGGTGATCCCATTCTGCTCTCACAAATAAAGAAAAAGAAAGGAGTATGTGAGGAAAGAATAGAAATATAGGAATCTGGTGAGTCTAAATCTCATCAATAAGAGACTGTGGAGAACACGCATTGCATCTGGGGAGTCTGCCCAATTTGCTGGACCCAGATGAACATGACAGATGCGGCCTGAGCACTGGGCTCCTGGTAGCCCAGAGGAAAGGGGATGAAACCAACTGTTGGGAAGAGGAGATAAGAGCCTCTGTGACTGCAAACCTCTCTACCCAGACTAAGTCTTATGTTACAGGCTGCCAAGAAGTCTTGCACTACTATCCTTCTAACCTTTAAGATAAAATGATTTGCCAAGGAGAAAGACATGGGCTTTTCCTGATAAAAGAATAATACTCAGTTCTATTCATAACCCAAGATCCAAAGATGGGCTCCAGGGGAACTGCTCTTATGACTGAATGCAAAGGTTTGCACATATGTAAGTATGTGCATTTTTCTGGGGAGAGAGTTCAGTGCTTTCAGTTTCTCAAAGAAGTTCGAGTCACCATAGATATAAAATGTGATTTTAAAAAATCCAATATATCAATATTACTCTTTTCTGTTATGCCTCTACTTAACTATCCAACAGGCACCTAAGGAATTTAAATTTCAAATATTTCCAAAAAGAAAATTAAGCAAGGTTCAAGAGTTGGCAGTGAATTTTGAGAAAGTGGCATGCTTGCTAATGCTGTCACACTCTCCCTAAAACTTGGAAAGACAGAAAACGTGACATGTTAAGGATGAGTACAATTGACCTGAGGTAGATTAATTCAAATGGTAGCAGCTGAAATCAGTTCAGTCACTGTCACTGATAGAAGAGGCAACAGGAGAGCAGGAAGGAACACCTGACCTGGAGTCTGGACACCAGGAATCTAGTCTCTAGTTCTAGCTCTGTCCAATTTAATCTGTGACCTTGGATGAGTCCCCTCTTCCTCTAGACTTGGTCCTCATCTGTAAAATGCAAGCTATGGAAGTAGATCAGTGCTTTACAAATGCTTTTAAGGCAATGAACATAATGTTTAGATAAAACCATCTAGAATTAAACCGAGTCTAAAACGAATTCAAAATGGCAGGCAGAACACATGCATTTATCTCCACTTCCCCTTAACAGGAAATTCCATTAAGTTATTATTCATAAATATCTACTTACTGAATATTTACTACATGATTGTTTTAAGTGCATTAACTAGTGGAATCCTCAACACTCTTACTAGGTAGGTGATGATCCCCATTTTATAGATGAAGGAACTGAATCACCAGCATTTAAGGAACTTGTCCAAGTTTTCACTGGTAATAAGTGGCAGAGCCAGTATTCAAACCCAGGCGATCTAGCTAGAGTCTGTGTTGTGCTACCTCTCAGACTGACAATCAAGGAATAGCAAAGCTCCCAAGTACAAAGAAGCTGAGAGAGATTAGAAATGTCGCCATATTTTGGAAGATGAAAAGCAGACAAATGGATAGTAACTGACTTATATGGAGAATACTGAGTGCTCTAGATGGCAAGTCACTCCAGAACACCCTCCAAAACTCAACTGTTGAAGATACAGGTTTCCTCTGAAGGTGTGAACATAAGGAAGGCTGTAAACAGGCAGTACTGGTTCCCTGCCCCAGGCAAGTGCCCCGTCACTGCCCCAGCAGAAGTCTGGAGGTTTATTCTCTGGACAGGATGAACCAGAGACTCCAGACTTGAGTAACCAGAGCACCAAGGAAGACATGAAGTGGCACTATTCAGGGGGATTAAGGGAAAGTCTGCATACAGAAGCAAGAGCTCCCAGTCCCCTCCCACCATCAGCTCCTAGAATGATAACAGCCAGGCTTACTCCATGTAGGCAGAAGCCTGAAGGAAGATCCATGGACTCTGAACATATCCCATAGAAAAGGACAGGTCCACCACCTTACAGGTGTGGCTCTCAGAATGTGGCCCGAGACCAGGAACAGTATCACTGCAGAAGTTATCAGAAATGTGAATTCTCAGGTCCATTCCAGACCTACTGAATAAGAAATTCTGGGGTGAACAATGTCTGAACAACTGTTTTTTAACAAGGCTGCCAGCTGATTCTAATGTCTGCTAAAGTTTGAGAACCACTGCCCCACTGGGAGGCCCACTAATCAATAAACCCATCCTACGCCAAAAAGCTTCCAACCAGCTTTTCAGTTTCTTTATTTGGAAGAAAGTCTGGAATCACCAGAAGTTTCAGGAAAGACTCTAGCTTGAAAAAGAGAAACCGAGGGACTTCCCTGATGGTCCAGTGGTTGAGACTCTGCACTGCCAGTGCAGAGGGCCCAGGTTCCATCCCTGGTCAGGGAACTAGATCCCGCATGCCGCAACTAAGACCTGGCACAGCCAAATATTAATTAATTAATTAACTAATTAAAGAAAAAAAAGAGAGAGAGACTGAAACAGATTTCACAGAGCAGCTCTAGGGAAGGGGAGTGAAATGAGGCAGAGCTTGGTTTGCTTGGCCTCTCTCTGGGCCCTACCATCACAGGGCATTGAACTACTCCTCAGGCTCCACAGAATAGTCAGAAAACCAATGAAGCAGAGCTTTCTACAGTCCTGTCCAGCTCTAGCCTATGCCTTTATACTGGTCCTTATGTCCCAGATCCTTGAAACTAATATAGCAATTTAGACAGACATTCTCAGCTGGAATCACTTCTGATAATTTACTTGTCCCTTTGAGTGAACAAAAAGTATTTGAATGGAAAAAAACACACAAGCATTTTTATGCTACGGGGTTGCTATACTCGAGATGTGCATTAAGTGCAGAGGCAAAATGCAATGCTTTAACTCACATAGTGTGACCATCTCACTCTATCATTCCCTATTTGCTTCTCTGTGTCTTATAAGCTTTCCCTGGCTTACCCTTACAGCCTAAATCTTAATCCGAAAATTCACCCCATTACTGCTTTTCACAAGTCTCTACTCACCCCAAGTGTTACTGCCACAACCAGATCATTCTTTTGTTTACAAATCTCTAGTAGCCTCGACATCTACTACCATGTAATCACCGTGGACAAAAATCTCTCATTTATATTTACTTTCTCTGCTTCCTTCCAGCTCATTTTTCTCAAACCCTTTGGTTCCCCACTAAAGATGCTCTCCCCCGTCAGTCCACTTCACTCCTCTACTGGAAAACTAATCTCCTTCAGGAGGGGTTTAGAGTGATGAAAACCTTAGGCCAGGCATTATGCAAAGAATACCACAAATTTTCTCATTTAATCCTCATATGAATACTAAGAATTAGGAATCATCCATTTTTACATTGGGAAAGCTGATGCTTAGACTAATTAAGTAACTTTCCCAAGGATTTTAATCCAAATCCTTCTGTCTCCAAAGCCACACTTTTTTTTTTTTTAGTCTTTGGTTGAACTATATACCATTC